GAGCGCACAACTGCTAGTCCTTTTTCTCTCTGTGTTGCCATCGCTTCATTGCACCACGACAACCCAACATGAGCGTTCACTTTCTCTTCTTTGGTGATATATCAGTTTCTCTTTGAGGTTTCACATCAGACCCAAATTTTTGTTTTCTTTCTCTACCCAACTTTTTTCTTGGCCAAGTTTGATATTTTCTTTCTGTCTCCACATCACTCAATTCTTCTTCTTCTTCTTTTTTTGGCTTACTTTTTTGATGGGTCATATCCTTTTTTTTAAATCTCTCTTTCATCATTATTTTTCATTCTCTCTTCTCTTTTTCCAAATCTCGACCCTCTACAAGCTTCGGATTTGAGGGGCAGATATGGGAGATAGACACATTGTCACACATCGGCAGCTGCACACCATCATCAATAGCTTCGGCACAATTGCACCAGCAACATCATCAATCAGTTGCACCAGCAACACCATCATTCAGCTGCCCCAGCAGCATCATTATTCAACCTCAAGAAAAGGCATCATCAACAACATTTGTTGCACATTAGCAACAAAATCACCATCGTTGCACATCAACAACATCAACAACAGACTGCATACATGCAACATGCGCTGAACATCAGCACAACTTTATTTGGGTGCTGCTTCCTTCAACTCACAACTCGGATTTGAGAGGAGCAACAACCCCCTTTACAGCAGTGACACCACTGCCTCTTTATCAGCAACCTTTGGGAGTAACACCTTTCACAATCTCTTGTGCAAGTTGGATGTTCTTGATATCCACCCTCCAACTTGAGGGGGAGTGTTGGAAATTAGGAACGTTATTAAATTGTTATTTAGTTTCCTTTTATTAGTTGATTGGAATTGATTTGGAGTAGTCTCCAAGTAACCTAGTTTCCTAGTTAAGCTTGTAATATCTCTATAAATACTTAGCCTTTTGGCTCTATCAATAACAACCAAGAATTATTCTTCTTAACAAAATCTCTAATTTCACAAGGGGCAGCTTCTAGGTTAAAAATGACTAGTACATGTCTTTGGCTCTTGGGAACCTCTCAGATTAGGCATTAGCAATTTAATTTTCTAGCTTAAGTTCCACCATCACCATCATTCCACCAAATCAAGTGAATTCCTTGTGAATTTTTTGACTGGCGTTGTTTGCTTGTCAGCCATCACAGGTCCATGTACAATCTTTCAAGCCATCAGCTCACATGTTATTATAAAACCCCATAAAATAAAGAGAATTTTTTACAACTGAAAATAGTAAGAGGCTTCAAGCCTTCACGCCGTCAAGACAACCCAGAAAAGCTTAACCCCATAAATGGTTAGAGATGTTTAGCCAAATTAAGATATGATCATATGATATGTTGTCGAAAGAAAACCATGACTTTCCATCCATCAAATTGTAATGGAGGACCATCAGAAAAGCATTACTTTTAAATTTACCATCTCCTGGCTTTTCATGATATTATTCAAAATCCCATCATCACCAAATCAGTGTCACCAAATCATTTGGTCAAAAGTCACCAAATCATTTGTTTTCTTTTGAGTGACTAGGAGACTCTTTTTTTTTATTTTTTTTACAGCTTAATTTCCATCTTCTTTCTTTCCCTAGAAAATGGTGTTCGGGGTTCCACCCCCAATATGCATGCCCTGCATGCATGGATTTTCTTCTCAGTGGTTTAAGAGTTAAAATTACTTTCTCCGCTGCTTCTTCTTCTTCCGCTCCTCCCTTCTCATTAGTTTGTCTTATCTTTTATTTTTTATAAAATAAATATATTGTTAGATGAACGATAATTTTAATATAATATTGCCTCTCCGCAACTGTAAACATTATTTTAAATATTTCCAGGCGTTCCAATCTTCCTTGTAATTAACCATAATCAATTGGTCAATAGTACAATTGAAGAAGACTTTGTGCCCAAGCTTTGGAAAATTGGAATGGCATGACAGAATAATACAAGATAAAGTTGTAATAAAGATATGGTCAAATTGCATGCTTGTAGATTGGAATGGTTCATGTGTGAAGTGACACTAGGGAATTTTGCTCTGGCAGACAACACACACACACACTTGTTCTCTCTCTCTCTCTCTCTCTCTCTCTCTCTCTCTCTCTCTCTTCCTTTTTGTTTGCAAGTTTGCAAAATCTACCACAAAGGGCAGCTTCTAGGTTAAAAATGACTAGTACAAGTCTTTGACTTCAGATCCAGACCATAAACAAACACATTTTTACCATAAAAAATCAAATAAAGAGAATTGACATGCATGCAGAAAAAGTATTTATCATATATGTAAATATATGAGTGATCTCCTTTGCCTCCTAAACATTACTTAATAATAACCAGACCTTATCTTCAACAGAACAGACTCATTTATTTTATTGTACATTCACATTTAACATAATCTTCATTAATCTCTCAGCATCAATTGAAAAACATAAAAAAAAAAAAAAAAAAAAAAAAAAAAGGGGGGTTCTGAATTAGCCTTTTAATTGCAGCCATTAGCAATTTATTTTTCTAACTTAATTCATTCCACCAAATCAAGTGAATTCCTTGTATTTTTTTGCCTGGCCTTGTTTGCTTCTCAGTTGTTTTCTAGCACAGGTCATGTACAATCTTTCAAGCCATCAGCTCACATGTTACTATTATAAAACCCCATAAAATAATTAGAATTTTTTCCTGTCAATGGGGATATTAAATGACTTTTTCTCATTTTATTCAATTTGATCAATGTGGAAGTTGGAGGAAGAAAGAAAAGTGAAAAAGAAGACAATGAATTTGAGAGAGAGAGAGAGAGAGAGAGAGAGAGAGAGAGAGAGAGAGAGCGGATAATGCGTGTCACTAGGGAAGTTTGAGGAAAAGAAGGGTGAAAACAAGACCTAGATTGGTGTCCTCCTCATTTCTAACAATAATAATGGCACTCTATATATTTAAATATTGAACTTTCTTTTTCTTTTTCTTTCTCATAATCCAATGAAGAAGTTGATCCTTCACCCCTGTCATAGTGTTGAGAGAAAGCTCCTGGAAGGTGCAAGGAAAGCTCCTGTGGAAGGTTGAAAAGCTTACCTCCTCAATGCTGCCAGTCATAGTGTTGAGAGAAAGCATAGCTTCTAAATCATCTGTGTAGAGAGAGAGAGAGAGAGAGAGAGAGAGAGAGAGAGAGAGAGAGAGAGCAGAGCAGAGCAGATAATGCGTATCACTATGGAAGTTGGAGGAAAAGAAGAGTGAAAACAAGACTTGGCATCCAAATAACTGGTGTCCTCCTCATTTCTCAAGCTCATGTAAGTCACTCTAACAATAATAATGGCAGTCTATATCTTTAAATATTGAACTTTCTTTTTCTTTTTCTTTCTCATAATCCAATGAAAAAGTTTATCCTTCACCCTTATGGGAAATTGCCTATGAAGCTTCCCTCTTTCATCAAAAGAGTGGTTCTAATTCAATTGAAAGTTAGTTCTCAGTAATCATAACATTTTTGGTAAATGTAAATAGTGTTTCTAAAGCAATTTTAAATCACTCTTCTTTTCCTCAAACTTTACTTCGAAAAAAAAAATATTAAAAAAGTTACTAGATATGTAAATTTTTATAAATTGTTAGGCACAAAATGGTTTTTGTGTACGGTATGTCACATCAGTCAGATAAAGACGCAATTTTTTTTGTGTCTGTCTAAATAATCACTTACTTTTCCTTTAAAAAACTATCAGATAATAAATATATAATATTTGTGCCACGATTTTTTTGTGCCCAACATAAAATCGTGTCCTATGTGCATGAATTTAGCACTATTATTCGTGTTTTATAAGAAATAAGTACAAATATAATTTATTTGTGTTAAATATTAAAAAAAACAATATTTTATTTGTGTCCTTATTCCTGTGGTCTTTGACCAGTTACGCCAAAAGAATATCAACTCAAATATAAATGGTGAGTATGAAATTGATGTAAAAAAAAAACTCATTGTATGGTTGACATTAGGGCTTCGTTTGTTCAACCTCGGAAAAATTAATATAATAAGAATTTTGTGGCTACTTTGTTAATTTTTAATTTTTGTTTTTTTAATTAATTTGTTGATAGTCTGTTGCAAATCGGAAGATGATGAATTTGGTGGAAATTGGGTTGGTAATTATTTAGGAATTTATCCTATTTGGTTCCACACAAACATCTGGGCCTGCACTTAAATTTATCATTAATTTATTAGAATTCGAATTTAGGTGTAAGTTGTAGTTTTTTTTTTTTTTTTTTTAATTGTTTTAGATTTGTTTATATTATCATCAATATCAAAAGGTGGCTCATAGAGAATGCGAAGGTCTAACTCCTTATCAACCCATTCTAGCCAGAGAATCAACACCATTGAATTTTCAGAAATTTCAATAGATTAATGTTCTTTCACTACTACAATATCGGGCTTTAGGCACAAATATTTTATGTTAATAGTCACAGTGCAACCACAACAAATTTGTCGGTTACCTCTATTGAGTACATTAATTGGATAAATGAATTCGTCACCTTCCTAATCCTATCATTCTTCTCCACTTCCCCTTCACCAACCAAGTCAGCCCCAAAGGCTTGTTCATTTATTCTCTTCATTGCTTAATTTGTTGTGTCTTTGATTCCATCATTCTTATTCTTGTTAATAGCCCAAAGTCACGAGAGCCTTCTTCAGCTACTCGGTTTCCTTACTTGCAATAGCATTCACTATGAGTTGATCTCAATGCAATATTTCAACTTTCACCTACTCCTTCATCTATTTCAGTATTTCTTCTCGTACTGCAATAGCATTTCATGTTAAACCATGCTACCACCCTAATTGACCAGATTAATCATGGCATAAATTCTCTAAACCCATCTCTCTGTCTCTGTCTCTCTCCCTGTGTGCCTATAAAAATGAAAAAAAGAAGTTTATAATATTCACATTTTGAAGCATAAGAAAATCCATCTACCTAGCTAGCAAAATCCCAAACCATGAAACCCTTCTTTAGCCACTTCATTTTGCTGCTTGCAATTTCAACACTTGTCATGTCTCAAGATTCCTGTACTGTTGGTCTTGGTCCTCAGTCTGGCAACTACCATGTGGAAATTCGAAACCACTTGAGCCATGACACCATTTTGAAGGTGCGCTGCAAGTCTGGTGGTGGAGATCTGGGTGACCATTGGATTGTAAATGGGCAGCGTTTCACTGTTGGTTTCCACAATGACAAATGTGTCTCGACCGAATACTGGTGCAAGCTAAGTTGGGGTTCCAAATCCAGCCATGGCGGCAACTATCGCTTCTTCAGCTGTGAAGAATCGTTTCTCAAGTTCTGTAATTTCCAGGACTGCAGTTGGAAGGTTAGGGATGATGGGATATATTTGCATGACATGCATGGACTAAAAGATGTGAAATATTATGACTGGGAGAGCTAAATTGATCTTTATATCAAGGTCAGAGTCTCAGATTGGCCTGTGGTACAAGAGGACTTATGGAATAAATAAAAAACCATGGATTTTATATTTATGGTTGTAAGAACTTTTTTTTTCTTTTTCTTTTAAATGGCACTTGAGATATAGCTCATGGGCCTTTTTTTTAAAATCTATATATAATAAATTGACTGTTGTCTGATGGATTTAAAACACCCGAGCCTTCATTTTGCACCATGGTTTACTTTGTGGGTTTCATACCACGGTTTTTTTAATTTTATAGATTTAACACCCAGACGATCTATGGATATATTTCATCCAAATAATGTTTTCCACCTAAAATGAATTCATGATCAAGTGAAAAAATTTATAGGTTTTATATCAAATAATGAATTTCTCATTCAAGTAAAATTTGTGAGTTTCTCGCCAAATGATAGATTTATCACACGAAGGATTTGATTGAGAATTAAGTACCCATTTAAGTGAGGCTTAAACACCCGTGACTTTGATTAAGGGTTCAACACAGATATTTGAAAAGAGACAACAGCAGCTAGCTCGTAGGCTGTCTTTTGGCTTCTTCATTCTCGGACCCTTGTTACCTGCTGTCATGCTATTTATAAACTGGGGTTTGGGAGACTGAGGATGAGGATCACTTCAAATTTGAAAAGCCCAACAACATGATCTGATTATCCTCTTCTGTCAAAAGCCTGATCCCTTCCTTTTCTTTAGGTATAAGATCAGAGGCGATTTGATTGTAACAACCAAAGATATAGTGCTCGTGAGGATCAGACTCACTAGTCCAACCCCATTTTTTCTTTTTGAATTTTGAATTTTTTTGGATTCAAAAAATTAATCATATATCAGTTAGTCTTGGATAATATCTTGAGCAGTAAATGCATTGCATGCTATTCCAAGTGTATATATATATGCAGAGGCTATACCATGCTGCATGCATGGCTTAACTCGTGTCAAGCTGCTAATTTTACCTTCTTCTTTTTGTATATCATCTTTGACCACCCAATACCCTAAGACTATATAAAGCTAGAGAATCAGAAACATTCAGCCAAATTAGCAGCAACCAAAATGAAGATCAAACCATACCAATCCTACATTTCCATGTTCTTGCTTATCTTTCTAGTCTGTCTGATGAGCCAAACACTAGTCACTGATTCGCTATTCGACAAGCTACGGGTGCATGTTGTCAACAGCTTCCAAAACGAGACTCTCGAAGTTCATGGTAAATCCAAGGACGATGATCTCGGGCTTCACCATATTCCCGTGAATCAGGAATTCAATTGGCATTTTTGGATTGCCATTTTAAAGAAAACTCTCTTCTTCTGCGATACGTGGTGGAGGGGTGGAAAAGCCAGTTTCCATGCCTTTTCTGCCGAAGAAGGTTTTCTCAAGTTTTGTGGTGATGGAAATTGCATGTGGAGAGCAAATGAAGATGGGATGTCCTTGCTTGATTATCACCACCAACAATATCATCTCATGCATAGATGGGAATCATCCTAACTTCAAAGATCATGTATAAAGTGATCATCTTGCTTGTAGGTGGTGATGATATAGATAATAAAAAACATATTCTCATTACTTGATCATGTTTAATTTCTAGCGATAAATGAAAGGTCTTTCCACATGGCTCACAATATTATGTGCTTCGACCCTATATCACCAGTATGGGAAAGTTGAGAAAAGAGTTGGATCCTAAATAATTGTGTAACTCCTTTCTTATTATAATCCCATTCAATAAATTTAAATGCTTATAAATTGTGGATCTTTCTTCAATATGACAAAAAACAAAATATTTTTTATTTTTTATTTTTCAAAAGTTAACTTTTATTTATTTAGCACAAGCTAAATTACAAGGAAATGGAAGTTTCTCACACACATGTGCAATAAGGGTTCGAACCTGAAACCACAAGTCTATAAGTCAAGACTTTTTTTTTCCACTTGACTAGACCTCATTGGCTCCAAAGCCAACTTTAAGACCAAGAAGCAAGCAAAAGATGACAAACAATTATAATAAGGCCACCTCCACCGTAGCCCAATTTGCCAGGGCAAGAGGCCCCCCCAGCGGGGTTTGGACCTCCAGTGCACGAAAGAGAGCCCTGGCAAGCCCTGGGTCCCACAAGCCCGGGCAAGCCCAAGAGCATATCTTGCCTGGGCTTCAGCCCGAAGGCTCTGACGTCAGCGAGCGAAAAAAATCGAAAAAAATACCAAAAAATTATGGACATTTTCCCTATAAATACATAACAATTTTATTCACTTCCACACCAAATCCTCATACAAACTCTTCTCCTTCCAATATTTGTAAATTGTAATCATTTTTTTTTTATTGCATTTGTAAATTGTTTATATTTTCTTCCATATTTATTTTTTTCTTGCATAATCATTTTATTTATTACATTTCTAAATTGTTTATATTTTGTTGCATATTCTTTTTTTTTCTTGCCATTGCCCTAGCCTTTTGGGGTGGAACCAAAAAAGACTTGAATAGTGGCAGCCCTTGCCTTGCCTTTGCCTTAACCTTAGAGCAACTCCACCCATTTGCCCTTTGCCATGGCAAAAGGGGAAGGGGGGGTGCTAAGGCAGCCACTATTCACGTAAATAGTTGATGCCCTTGCAAAAGGTTGTGGTGTTTCCACCAATTGTCATGACAACAACTATTCACATGAGATATGAGGAGAGAATTTGTATAGAGTTTTGGTGTGGGAAGTGAAAACTACAACTAAGTACTTATTTAAAAAAGATATGAAAGTTTTTGTTTTTTTTTAGATCTTTTTTATAAAAATTCTATTTCTGATGTCAGCAAATTCAGGCTGAAACTAAGGTAGATCTTGCCTGAGGGCTAGCCTAGTTCGTGGGCCTTATCTCCTGCCAGGGCTAGCCCTTGCTGCTGGAAACAGTTTTTGGGCCTAAACCCCCCTACCCTTGTTGCTGGAACTGCTCTTAGCCTTTTGAGGTGGACATGCTCTAAGGGGTCCTTAATAGTTGTCCGGTCAATTGCAGAGCTATTATTGGACACCTGGTTAATGTAGACCCAAAAGAACTCACAAAACAACTAGGCCTTGGGCTCACTTAAAACTCAAATTGAATTTGGTTGTTACCTAATTAAGAGTCCTCAATAGTCTTATTTTAATAGTGAAGGCCCAATTAAAATCCCGAATAGTAACACAGCCTTTTGTCTATGATATATAATATAGCCGCATCGCATACACAGATTCAATGACTTGTTTCTAAAGACAACTTCGCACCCTTCAAAACTTTTACACTCTCTCTCTCGAAACCAAGAAATGGGTCAGGGAACTCCGGGCGGGTTGAACCGGCAAGGCCTACCGGGCGACCGAAAGCCCGACGGGAACGATAAGAAGGAGAAGAAGTTCGAGCCGGCGGCTCCGCCTGCCCGAGTCGGTCGAAAGCAGCGCAAGCAGAAGGGTCCCGAGGCTGCAGCTCGGCTCCCGACCGTGACGCCGCTGACCAAGTGCAAGCTTCGGCTGCTGAAGCTGGACAGAATCAAGGACTATCTGCTTATGGAGGAAGAGTTCGTGACGAACCAGGAGCGGCTCAAGCCGCAGGAAGAGAAAGCCGAGGAGGATAGATCTAAGGTCGACGATCTCCGAGGCTCGCCGATGAGCGTTGGGAATCTGGAGGAGCTAATTGACGAGAACCATGCGATTGTTTCGTCTTCGGTTGGGCCTGAGTACTATGTTGGGATTTTGTCCTTTGTAGATAAGGACCAGCTCGAGCCTGGTTGTGCCATTTTGATGCATAATAAGGTAATTGGGGTATTGGGTTTTTAGGGTTTTTGATTGGGCTATCGTTATTTGGTTGTTGATGCTGGTTTTTGTTAATTTTAGCTTTTGTTGATTGGAAATTGGAATTTAGCTTGTTTGGGTTTCTGATAAATAGTTAGGGAAATGTGGGCAATTTAGTTTGTGATTTTTTTGTACTCGAAACCTAATCAGAATGTGATACTTAGTTGCATAGACAGTCTCCATTCGGCTGCTAAAGATGATACTTAGTCATTTACTGTTAAGCGGTCATCTGGTCTATATGAAATAGCTACATTTATGGTTCTACCCGTGTTTAGAAACCAAATTATATACGTTTGCTGTGGGTATAACTTCAGTTGTTTTTTTTTCATTCATCTATTTGTGTGGGTTTTGATTGGTAGTGTGTTAAATGTTGTTCCTTGTCAGGTGCTTTCTGTTGTCGGGCTTCTTCAAGATGAAGTTGATCCAATGGTGTCTGTCATGAAAGTTGAGAAAGCTCCACTGGAGTCTTATGCTGACATCGGTGGATTGGATGCCCAAATACAGGAGATTAAAGAAGCAGTTGAGCTCCCACTGACGCATCCTGAACTGTACGAAGACATTGGTATCAGGCCTCCTAAGGGAGTCATATTGTATGGAGAGCCTGGAACTGGCAAGACCTTGCTTGCAAAGGTGTGGGTCCAATTTTTTATTTTTCCACTTAGCCACAGCATGCCAATTCACCTTTTGCTTGTATTTATTTGTTCTTTGTGTATCCTTGTTCTGTCTTGTTCACTAGAATATCCTCCCCACTTGCACATGTTACAAAAAAATCAGGGTGCAGTCACCTGCTTCACTGTTTCAATTAAGTTGCAAGATTTCTGATGTTTCCCATGTTGTTTTCCAATTTGTATCATATTCTGTATGCAACATGCCATAGGGATGCGGTTGTCATTAGTTGGGTGTCAAATATCATCAAACTGATATTTTCCTTCCTACAGGTCGCTGCATCTATTCTCATTCTGTGATATTATAGTTTGCTCTCTATTTCTGTCACCATTTTTGTGTATTTTGCAATGCTGACACCTGTAGCAATTGTTTTTGCTAGTTTTCCTGTTTGTTTGTATGTATGTTTGTGGGTGCACCTCTCTCTCATGCACCCACCGATAGCATACTCACAATAGATGTTTGGGTCAGAGCAGGCACCGACAAAATTTGTTGCAAAGACCTGTCTAGTTTCAAAGTTTTACTGTCACAGTTAACGAAAATTATGAGTGCACCAGAGAGTTCCTTTCAATGATGTTTGCTTATGGCATATTTGTTGTATCTGCACTCTTCTTGTCAAATTTTATTCTCAGCTTGTAAGATATTTTCACTTTTTTCAGGCAGTTGCAAACTCAACATCAGCAACTTTCTTACGTGTTGTTGGTAGTGAGTTGATTCAGAAGTACTTGGGAGATGGTCCGAAATTAGTGAGGGAACTCTTTAGGGTTGCTGATGACCTCTCACCCTCCATTGTCTTCATCGACGAAATTGATGCAGTTGGTACAAAGAGGTGAGCTGCAAGCCCCTGAACATTGATGAAAAGATTGTAAATTACTGTTAATCAAATGTTCCTGATGATCTTTTGTCTGCAGGTATGATGCCCATTCAGGTGGTGAACGTGAAATTCAGAGGACCATGTTGGAGTTACTGAACCAGTTAGATGGTTTTGATTCAAGAGGAGATGTCAAGGTGATCTTGGCAACAAATAGAATTGAGAGTCTTGACCCAGCCTTGCTTCGTCCTGGCCGAATAGATAGGAAGATTGAATTCCCTCTTCCTGATATCAAAACAAGGAGGCGCATCTTCCAGGTAAATTGACACGACTGTTTATAAGAAAGAAACAAATTCAACTTCAAACGTGCTAAGTTTTTATGGTTGTGACTAACGATGATTGGATCTATTGATTGCAGATTCACACATCAAGGATGACGTTGGCTGATGATGTCAACTTAGAAGAATTTGTTATGACTAAGGATGAGTTCTCTGGGGCTGATATAAAGGCAATATGTACTGAAGCTGGTTTGCTTGCTTTAAGAGAACGCCGTATGAAGGTGAGAAAGACACTTTGATCTTCCAACCTCCCTTCCCCATCTTGAATCTCTGAAATTTGTTTATCATTTCTTACTGTGTTTGATTCAACTGTTTGCTTAATCATTGTAATTAACGTGGGTGTTAAATTTAAATTGTGTGCACCAGGTGACACATATAGACTTCAAGAAGGCAAAGGAAAAGGTGATGTTCAAGAAGAAAGAAGGGGTTCCAGAAGGGCTTTATATGTGATGAAATCACCCCGCATGTACTTTTGAAGACACAGCCGTTCTGTTTGTGTTCTGTATTACAACTTAAATTCTATTTCAAGTTTCTTGTGTTTTGGTTGGATTCAATATTAAGTGATGATTAGCATCCTTAATTGAAAGATGGAGGTTGTAATACTTCAACTATAGAATCACGAGTGCCTTCCCTTCGGAAACCAACTAAGGCAACTCCGATTATTTACGTTTATCCATATGCTTCATTTCAAAGCTTGACGTGTCTCTTGATGATGCCTGTGAAAAATTGCACAAAATATCAAATCTGCTTTTAAAAAAAATGTGGGATGTGTTTAAGCTTGGGTTGCTGCGCGATTTGAAACACGACATTTCTGGTTGTTTGAAACTCATTACGTTAGCCTTTGTGTGCTTTGTCAACATGTTTACTAAGGGAATTTTACGTTCTTGGATTCATTAAAGCAACTAAATTCTCCAAAAGAGGGATGGCAATTCAGAAAATTGGGAAAAATAAAAGAAAAATGGATCGTAATAACTTGACATTGTGTTTTATTTATGGACACTCACTCCTATGGAAGGAGGCATTCCTACTTCCTACAAATCACCGTTTGACACATATGTAAAAATAATTTATCAAAAACACTAAGAGAAAAATCTTTACACACATGTCAATCTGTGATTAGAAGGAAAGTAAGTGCTCCTACTTTCAAGGAATGAGACAAGTATTTTCCTTTATTTATAGAACAACCTATAGTGAAATTAATGAAATTTAGAGGAAATCCCGATAACTTAGAGAATTTATAATTTCATGCATTATCTTGCTTCCAGTGTTTTATTTTCTCTATAAATTTGAAGTGGGAAAATAAATTAGGATTAGTCTTGAACCCTTCCAATTTAATGAAATAATTTTTTTTTTTCTCAAGAATTTAGTGAAGAGTTACAAAGAAAATTGAACTTTTTTCAGGGAATAATTTAAAGTTGAAGTTTTTAGGGCTTACTCAAATGTCATAATTCATTCTGTGATATTGTTTCCTTTGTAAACCATTTAATTTAATTTTCGTAGCAAAAAAAAACTATTTAATTTAATTTTTCCTATTACCTTTACAAACAAAACGGTGCGTGGGCTCTCATTCATCACCTTAGCTTCTGTTTGTTTTCCTGGAAAATCTTTTCTCGAAAACTTTCCGTCTCAATCCTCGAAAGCTTTTAGAAGCAGGACTGAGTGTCCAAATGGGTCCTCGACTGTGCCAAGTCTGCAACGAAGCACAATCCAAGTACAAGTGCCCCTCATGCCTTGCGCCTTAGTAAGCTCTCACCAATATCCTCAGTTTTATCTATTTTGAAAACCCTTTTGATTCTTGCTGGTATCTGATTCGTTAACGAAAAAGATAAAATTCTTTTGCTTGCAGTTGTTCTGTAGCCTGTTTCAAGAAACACAAGGGTGTGGGGCGCTTACACACTTCAACTTTGCTTTGTTATTAGTTATTATCATTAATTATGAATTTCGAAAGCTAGTTAATTGCTTATTCTGTTGTTAATCTGGGACTAATTTGAGCTTATATACGAATTTTTCAGAAAACCCATGTGCTTTGCCAGTTTCTTCGTTGGAAAAACCACCAAGTAAGAATCTGGCGCTCTAATTTCATTAAATTAATCTGCTTTCATATGCCTAAATGCTAATTTGTAGTTTTTTGTTGATACGTATTAGAGAAAGTATTGTATCGGATTCAATTTATGTCTGTGATCCTACCTCAATAAACACACAGCTTATTAAAAGTAAATGTTGTTATGTTTGTGTTGATGATTATATTTTCTTCATGTTGCATTGCCTTTTGGGATATTTTCATGAGACATTTGTCCTCTCTGAGGATTCTGAGAATTCTAGTGTTGTTGATTTCTTATTCTTCAGCCACAGGTCCGGAATCACGGGTAGATAGGCCATTAACTGTTGAGGAACCGAGTGAAGTGCTGCAAAGGCTGCAACTAGAGGCTGTAGGTAAGGATTTTTCTAAGCTTGGAAATGCATTAGAGTTTTTAACTTAGCTACAGAAGATGGCCGTTGGGGAACTTTGAAAGTGGAGGGTTATCCCTTCACCTTTTGAAAAAAATTGACCCTTTTATGGGGCATACTAAGACCTAGGTTCCAAAATATTTAGAAGTATAAATGATGTTCGTGCCAGATTTAATCTAACGCCTTCAAGGTAAAACGAGAGAATGAAAGAGGCTGTTGTCATCTAGGCTGAAACCAAAACGAGGATAACCAAACCTGTTAGAACTAAGGAGGTTTCTGCAAGTAGGCTGAACAGAAGACAAGCCAAGGTTTATGGTGTTGTTTATTCTGAACCTTTTTCACCGTGTTATCGTTTCTTGTAAACTTTTCTTGTTTCTTTCCATCATTTGGCCATCATCATTCCCCGAAACTCTTAGAAGGCTCCTTTGAGCATTTGAGGTAATCCCCAATGTGGTGACTTATAGTCATTTACGATATTTCCAATTATGTTAACTGCTGGTATTTTTAGGGAATCTATATGTTCAGTAGTCTAGATAAGCAACAATTTATCTATATACACCAAAGCTGTTTTGCTGCATGGTTTGGCTCCAGAGAACTGTCCCACATCTACATGTTTGATGGTAATTATCCCGCTTAGAATCTCTGGTTGAAGGAAATTGTTGGACTAGGCAACTAATAAGAACATAACAGTTTTCAATTCGCAACTGATATGATTGCTCCCCCTGATTATCAACCCTCGTTTTTTTTCCCCATTTGTAGCTTCTTCCAGTGAAATTTGCAGTGCTTTGAAAGATGAAAACCTTCAGAAGCTCATTCTAAATATAGATTGTTCACCAGATGCAGAGAAAGTGAGTGGGGACATTTACTTCAATCATGACCAAAGTATTTCCTTTATCAAATGTTTTTCATTTAGGCATGATACTTGCTCTGAAATCAAACTGTCTTGACTAAAATGGAGAATAATGTTTGGTAATCATGTTCTATACTATCATCAGGAACTTGAGAAAGCTATGGGTGTGGATGTGTTTCGGATATTTACGGACAAGGTGATGCCCTCTGTTACTACTATTAGAGAATACTCTCTGCTTATACGTCTATAAATTGTTTTGGTTGCCATATGATCATCATCGGTTCACTTTTGAATAAAAGCCTGAGCTCTATATACTGTTTGGATTTCTGTCTTCAGATCCTATCTACCCTTGGCTCATAACTACAAGCACTTCGTGAAGGACAATTTACACAGGGAAGAAATCTGATTTAAAGCTCTCCACCATCGAGACATCTTCGACTTCACGAAACGCATTAAGAATGTTGTGCTTCCATCTTGGACATGGTCAAGAATTTTGTAATCGGGTTCCAAGTTTGAACTATGGAAATTTTAATGTGCAACAGCTGATGCAAGTTGAGGAAAATCTCGTCAAACAATTTATAGTTAGAATATAAACGTCTCTCGAGTTTCCTGCGGGCATTTTTTACTCTTTTATGGTTAACCAGTAAAATAAAGCAAAGAAAATAGGATTTGTGGTTAAAGATATTCTCGCATCTTTGGTGGAGGATGTGATCAATACGCCTTTGCCAGATATTGAGCACAAAGTAGTCCGAGGTAGACTTTTGCCTTCGACTTATATAGGTTGTCCTCCAGTATTATTGGGGATTTTGATCATATCTTCTTCACCAAGAAAAAGACAACTCAAGAAATGAATTGACGGGCAGACACCTTTATTTTTATCTTGGGCTGCTTTTGCAAATCACATGAAAGCAGAAAACGATACCAGAAGGATCCATCAGCATCTTCCATCTTTAGATCAGGTCCCATGAACTTTGTGATCACTCATTTTAAACTTGATACCCTTCACAACTTCTGAGAGCGACAAAATCAAAATAGGAAAATGGTAAATATATTGCTATGGGGTTGTAATAATTACATGTTAGCTTTGTTATATGGCATTTTAGCCTCACAAGAACCCAAAAAGGAGAAAAAAACTACTCTCAGAGCTTAGACTACAAAACTTAGCAGGCAAAGAGCCTTCTGTTATCCATCCACTTCCAACTTCAACCTGCAATGCACAAAAAGTTTCACCATCAGTTCATCCACTTTCCATACGAGTACGACCCTCGATAATTAAGAACGACATTAAAACCACAATGCACTACCATTCTTATGGCAGTGGACAGTTGACTCTACCTACTGATGGGTCATATCTCTTTAACAAATCATCAGGTAAATTTAAAGATGAAAGTATTTACTTTTGTAAGATTATAAGAATTCACTGGGGTCAAGGGGAGAACCGAACTAATCTTGAAAATTACACAAGGTAAAACAAAAGTTAAAAAGTATTTTTACCTGATTGATGATTTTCGTGAGTTTCAGGTCCCTTACTGGAACTTGGCTTGCTACTAGGCTGAGCCATTGCTTGATTCTGTAACAGGAAATGGAGCCATGAATACAGGTAATTTTATGTGAAGAAAAATTTGTAAGTAATAATTTTATGTTAGAACCAACACCATACCTGCTGTAGTGGCAACTGCATCTGCTGGGGATTGAAAAACTGCTGATAAGGATCTGCAAAATTTGGCATACGTGATTGGTTTGGATTTTGAGCAGCAAGCGTGTTTAGCATTTGATCTGACTGATTTGTTGCTTGAACTCTGGCAGGATCATTTGCAGGAACAGGCTGCATATGAAATGGTGGCACAGGGAACCTAGGTCCCAAATGTGCAGCCGCTGTTGGCATGGATGAACCAGCTAGCACATTCGGAAATGGCATCATAGGCCGGGTCATGCCCGCCATTTCCATTCCCATGCCCATTCCCATTCCCATCCCCATCCCCATCGGCATATACTGCTGAACACCAGGAAACATCATAGGTACCATGCCGCATCCCATGGACATCATCTGCAGAAATTGGTTACAATCTAATTGGTATCATAAATAATGCATGAACTCGCTATTGATCTTTTCTCTTCTCACTATTTCTTTCCCGGATATTTTTCACAATTAGAGTGACAAAAGATTGATTCTCCATTAATTTACCACTGTCTTCAGCTTGAGATTATATATAGCAGTGGAAAACAAGACAAGAGCATACCTGTACTTGTAACTGAAGTGATTTCAAGTACTCAATTGCTTCATCCAGCATTGACGCTTTGTCTGACTGATGATACAGAATACACAAAAAAAGAAGAGTATTTTTAGAATGTGAAAAAAGAAACCGCATTTGGATCTAATGGAGAAAGCAATTCAAAATGCTTGTGAAATTCCATAAAAGATTTAATTAGTATGAAAACCTTGTTGCAACGAGGTATTAGTTCTTGTAAGGCCTTCATCTTTTCATTTATCCTATCTCGCCGTCTCTGCACATAGATTCAATACTTAGCCATTTTCAAGAGAAATAACGTCACCTGAGAAGGAAGGTGAACAACTTGCTTTATCAGCGAAGCTATAGTTCAAGCTAAAGTACAGACCCTCTCGGAGAGATTGTGAACCTCGGCAGCCCGGGATCTCTTTGTAGACCTTGATCCTCGGGCTTGTTTTTTTCCATTGGCAGATTCAAACTCAACATCCTGTTTAAAATCATGAGAGAAAAGAACAATTACTTCTAATATCCAATAGTAAATTGCAATGAGTATAGGAAATATCATCATCTGAAAGGTACAATACAAACATGAATGCCCTGACCAATCCAACCAACTGAATTGTACATGGCATTATAAACTTAACATCTTTACATTTTTGTATTGTTTTCACAATTAACAAAGGCATCAACCTATCTAACCAAACAAAACCAATTAAACATATTTTCTGTCAAAGCATGCATACACACCAAGTACCAATTTGGCTACTCTTTCTACTGTCTTACACTACCATGAACTGATTTTGAATCCTGATAAATAAATAAAACCCCCCATTTCCAAGGCCCCATCAAAAGTAATAGAACTATCATTTTTCTTGTTGAATATAAATAAATAAATAGTCCCACATCAATAGTATTTCCAGATAATTTACCAAATACATAAATAAAGTTTCCAGATAATGAGGGAAGGCTACTTTATTTTTATTTATTTTTTTATCAGAAGGAAGGCTAGTATGGGACGAAGAAACAAACAAGTCCTGTGAAAAGCCACGTGTAGCCCATGATGATTAATAAATCATTTTTGGAGGGTATATGCAGTTGCACTAGAAATTCACTGCCACCTACACCATCTACCAATCATCTTCCTGTCAGAAAAATTTATGCTCCTCCTTCCTACTGTACTGTACACGTGCGAAACATTAATCATAAGCCCAGAACTGCCACGTGTACGGCGCACAACTGAAGTGACGGGGCCCAAAAAACACTAACGCACATATTGGATGTAGAGTTTCTATAGGGTTATAGCCTAGGGCACTGGGAAACGCAGTGCGCACGATTACCGACGTTACCCTCTCCACCTGCGCACGTTAGCCGAGACCAGGCAACAAACAACACCTTGGGAAAGAGAACAATGGATTTTTATTTTTTATTTTATTTTTTTTCCATTTCTGGAAACTAGTTAATTTCAATTTTCACAGAAAATGTTATCGTTATCATCACTAATTAGTAAAAAAACAAATTTGTGCTGACTCAGACTCACTCACTCACCTCGCTCTGAAACTCGCCGTCGTCCTCGGCTTCTCTCCCTTTCCGCTTCCGATCCTCGTCCGCCCGCGGCTTCTGAGACGATATCGGCTCGGCGCTCGCGCTGGCACTCGCACTGGAGCCGCCGGGAGACGAAGTCAGCGACATCTCACACGTCATAATCTCTTTCCCAGGAAACGACGTCGCAGCATTAGCAGTAGCGACAGTAACAAACGACGTCGCAGCACCGGCAGTCACTCCGCCGCCGCCGCCGTCGAGCCCGGAATCCAAAGCCCTAGAGCTGTGTCCCACCAGCGGAGTATCGCAGGAGTCCACCACCGTCGTCGATTCCCTCACCACGCTCTTGGAGCTGGACGGCGCCGCTTCCGAAACCCTCTCCTTGTTGTTGTTGGTCCTGGAGAAGTGGAGAAAGTTCTGGAGCTCGGTCCTCCTCGGTGGATGAATCGGCGGCTTGGACGGCGGCGCAGAAGTAGGATTAGGCCGGAGTTCGGCGGCGGCGGCGGTGGTGTTGGTTTGATGAACGGTGGAGGAATCGGGGTATAGGAGGTCGGCGCAAAAGGGGTCGTCGACGAGAGGGTACTGAAGCCAAGAGGCCATTTCGTCTTCGTGCATAAACAGCTGGTGGTTTTGAGGTGTGGGATGGGGTTGGGGTCTGGGGATGTCTCTGTCTTCGGGCAAGACGGCGTCGTATTTGGATGGGGCCTGTGACGACTTTTTGTTGTTAGGCAAAGGCCTTTGGTTCTGGCTCTGCATCACAACTTGACCGTTTTGCCATAGCAGCTCCATGATCTCATCATCTGGCCTGCAACATGTCATGTATGTCATAAATAAATTGCGATTAAAAAATTTGAAAAAAAATAGAAAAAAAATATAAATTTTTACAGGGATGATTTTCTGAGGCGGTTCGGGGCAGAGGAAGTGGGAATTGAATAATCATCCTCCATTTCAAAATCGGGGACGCACCGATTCATCTTTTCTTTTATTGAATCACTAAATTAGTCCTGAACCCAGGCAAAAATTAAACTTGGAACCAAATTTAAGAAGAAAAGCAAAAATTACTATAAAAAGGGGATGAAGATGAAGCTGCTTACGGATTCAAATTATACAGAGGAAGAGGAAGTACTTCTTCTTCCCCATATCTGGACCGACCAGAGACGCAGAGATTGAGGAAGTACTTTGATGGAATAATTGGGTGGCTGGGAATTTCCAAGTGTGGAAACCGCAGATGTGGGTGGTGATTGGGAAATTAATGGAGCAAAATCTAAGAGAAGATTTGGTGTTGGGGGGTCTCTGTCTCAGTGTGTCGCGGGGCTAAGCAGCCTAACACTAACACAACTAGCTAGCTACTTCCACGAAGATAAGGTCCTCTCTCTCTCTCTCTCTCTCTCTCCGAATAATAATAATAATAATAGCAAGGAAAGAGACGAAATGAAATTTTGACGCTATGCAAGACTCTGTGTTTTCCCAAGCGATGAGCCCCATTTCTTTTTTCATTTTCGCCATAACTCTCTCTCTCTCTCATGTTATGTTATATGTTACTGTTTTATAATATAAAGCAAGCAATTAAACGCGAACGCAAACTCGAGTATTTGTTTTTTTGTTTGTAGAAACAGAAGGGATCCAATCCAATGAGACGGACATATTACCTTAGACAACTGATCTAATTTATATTTATCGCAAACTTGTGTTATTATGGTCTTTATTTATACGTAAGCAATAAAATTTATATCAGAAAAACTCGAACTTGCATGCAAGAAGACGACCTTACTTTCCTTGTCAGCTGGTATAACCTCGACTTCTCAAAGGTTTTAGCTTTTTGTTAAGCTGAAAATGACTAATTTCAACCGTCCGTTGTTAACTGCCACTTCAATTTTTGGTTCATTAGAAAAAGACTGCATCTTCTGGCACACACCATCCCACTTGCGCTCTGTCCTTTTCTGTTCTTTTCTCTCTCTCTCTCTTGTTTTTTTGACTTATGGAAATTAATAAATGAACGAAATGGATGGCGTACGGTTTTAATTATTTCATCTGCGTACTAATTTTTTGATTAGGACCATGCTTAGATTATGATGGAGAATCTAAGTCGTGCTTCTTTCTTTGTTTGGACAGGGTTTCGAGATGCAAAATTGAATCAATAATGATTAATTTTTCCAACTGAAATTCATTCACCCTTGACTTTTTTGTTTATTTTACCCGAAATGTGGGTTATGTATGTTTGCTTTGTCTTATATTGTTGACGGATCATTACCTAATTGCTTAGTCAAACACCCCAATCAACTCATTATGATGCTAAGTTAGTTTTCTTGGTGAAATCTTGACCGAATTTTAGCGTGCAAAAATATATTTCATTTCTTAAGTGTATGCACCGATTATATGAATTTACGTTAAATACGAACATAATATAACGTCTGTAATAAATTCATACTCTAATGCGAGTAATTGTAGGTATTTATTCCCTACTACTCCATGCTCCCCAATTAGAACCATTCATGTGTACTTTCTTCCTCTATAATTTAATCTTCTATCATCTCACTATTAATTCCAGATTATATTTGTCGCAGTCTGCACGCATCACCATCCTAATTCTAATTAAAAATAAATAAAAGATTGCAAGTTTTCCCCATCACAAAATATCATATAGAAATATTATATAGCATGATTAGGCGTGAGTGGGATTGCTTTATTTGGAAAATGACAATTAACGGTAAACCGTCTCCAAGTTTAAACTTTAATTCATTAGCGGTTTCCTCTCTCACAGAATCTCAGACCAACAAAGCCATACTTAAAAATTTGACACGTTCTTAAATATTTGACACGTGGACTTTAATTTCCATTGCCCATATCATGCCATGTAACCATGTTACATGCCTGCATGCATGCATGGTACAGTGGTACTCGTCAATTTGTATTGATTAAAAAGAATAATATATGTGGATTTATGTTCATGGCGTGGGCCCGAAGAAAACGATTGGAGTTGTGTTATCAGTAACCTAATTTAGGGATTTGGTTGTCGAACTTGTTTAAAATAAGACCAACTTGTGGTGGAATGAAGCTGTTGGGTATAAATTAATGGACATGGAATAGGAACATCATTCTACTGTTTTCACATATGCATTCTCTCTCTCTCTCTCTCTCATGAATCAAATTAAATCCGTGATGATTCATTGATTCGGCATGATTGGAACCATGAATTTTTAAAAAGGGGGGCTATAAATTTTAGATGGCTCCACCTTTGTCGGTGTTCAATCTAAAACCTAAACCGAACTAAATCAAACCATACGCACCCTAATTGTGATCACTAGTAGTAGTACTGCACACATGAATTGGAAAAGTATATGACGAAATTACATCCTTATGTCTTGTTCCATTGGCAATGCAAATAAAGCATATACTTGAAAAATTCCTGACATGCATTAGATCAGACCTTACTAAAAGAGTCCAAAAACCTGCAACATTTTTCGAATTAGTCAGCTATAATTATATAAAATATATATTAAAATAGAGGCCTACCATAGCATCCCATGTGCTGCTGGCAGCATATCATATGGATTCTTTTCACATCATTGCAACTAGCTAGAATTAACTATGGTCGTCTTTGGTCAATGTCCTCCTCTCTCCCTCTTAACCAATGCCTCTCGCTTGGGCTCTGCGACCCTCCCGGAAGAGGAGGGCTACACGACAAGTCGTCTTTGGCGCCATTCTAACACAAAGATGTCTCTGCTTACCTATTAGTATTACCCTATATAAATTCCTTTCAGCATTGGCTCAGAAATTTATAAGTCAATCAGATTAATTATTATCATGCATTTCTATACATATTTTATTTATTTATTTCGAATTATCAGATTTTTCTTCTTGTGTTCTTTTTGTCTACGGGATCTAATCTTGAAAAATAATCTTGATTTGTAAAGCAGAGGGCTGAGTTTAGAACTCCCACAACACATTAGTAGTTTGTGTGAGAAATCCCTCTATTTAGTTTAGACAATTACTTATATATTTTTTTTTATTATAACAGTTGAAGGCCGTTTTTATCATAACTCATTACAAATATATACCATTTTCAAATATCATGAAAATCGAACTTGAGATTTCCTTTACCTATTTAGTCGTCTAATATTTATGTGACGGATTTAGTCCAAATTATTGGTTCTAATAAGTGGGATTTTTTAGGCCAACAAAGAAAGGACCCGAAGTATTTCCTTCATTCGGCTCTCCTCAAGATGAGCAACTCCAGCGGAGCGCCAGAGCCTCGGGCTGGGGGAGAAAAACGAGAAAAGTTGTTTCCAGCGATGAGCCCAAGCCAGGGCAACACGTGGGTCCTACCAAGTTGGGCTAGCCCGAAGGCCAGTTCAGCCCGAGGTCCAAAACGAGGGCTGGTGATGATGTCATCGCTGACGCCAGGCTGGCGTCAGCCCACTCATGTGATTTTTTTTTCTGTTGCTACGTGGCGTCGTTTGGGCTCTCCGATTTGATTTTTTTTCCTCTAATCCAACGGCAACCAATTTTTTTGCAATAAAATACTAGAAATTTTTTTAAAAAATACCAAAAAATTAATGAATTTTTTTTTATAAATCCCAACCATTTTTTTTTAAAAAAATTATCTGAAATTTGAAATTGAAAATTTTATCCGATTATGAGATATGAATAGTATTGACACGTAGGAACCCGGAAATCTTATTCGAAAATATTATCCAAATTAATTATTGAGGTAAAAAAATTTGTGGAAAAAACAAAAAAATAAATAGTAATTGCCCTTAGCCATGGCAACGAGTGGAAACACAAAATACTATTTGCAAGGGTAACCACTATTCGCATGAATAATGGCTGCCCTAGCTCACCCATTGCTATAACTAAGGGCAAATAGGTGGAGTTGCTCTTAGAGTTGAATACAGGAGTGAAATAGAAGCATATATATATATGGAGATAGTAGAGGAATCTTCTTCGTAAGGCGTGCAGACGTGGCAATGAGTGAGCATGCCATGTTGGCCAGTTCACCGACATTTGAGTACAACCTCGGGTGACCCACGTATCTTCCTTCCTCACCAACTTCTTTGCTTCTTCGCCTTTTAACAAGAAGTGGTCACCAAGTGGCTCCATAACCACATAACAATCTTTGCTTATTCTCAAATTCTAAGTGGCTCCTGGGTATAGTCCAATAAAAAACATTATAACTTTAGTAGTCTGAGATTCGAACCCACGGCAGCTTGATAGTGTGTATGTGAGAAAACCTCTCCCTCAATCACTTTATTCTATATGTTTTCAGTTTATTTAATGTATGCCTTATGGAAGAATTCACACAGAAATAATCTTATTAATATTAACTATACCATTATTTTCAGGTTTTGCACGGAATCTTATAAATCACGGGTTAACCCAGTATTTTATATATTTTATTATCAAGATTAGTTTTTTTTTCCTCGCAATGCAGACTAAGAAAGTAGAAGGTGAGAACAACAAAATCATAAATACCACCAGAGACTACAACTGGTGTAAAATGTTCCTGCACAATTAACCTCTCTCCCTATGATTACATTCATGTTCAGCCTCCAATACCATTGAAGAAAAAAAGAGAGTATAAAAGCGAGAAATTGGATAACTCAGTTTGAATAAGGATAAACGAGGAAGGTGTGAGCCTGAGTAAGGAAGCAGCCTCTACTGAATCCAACATGTTGATAGAACTTCTAGTAATCCATGCCTCCCATGCCACCTCCCATTCCAGGGGTTTCCTTCTCATCCTTGGGAAGCTCAACGACAACTGCCTCCGTCGTGGTCATTAACGAGGACACGCTGCAAAGCGACAAGTTTCAGATGCTTGCTTGAAGAAATGCAGCAAGTTCTTAAAGGGAAATTAACTTTAAAAAGAAGGGTCTTATAAAAAACTCTGAATTACCTTGCGGCATCGACCAAGGCGGTTCTGATGACTTTCAATGGATCAATGATCCCTGCCTTTATCATGTCTACATATTCACCTGAAAGGAGCAGATGAAGGATTAGTTTTCATCTAACTTTTTTCAATGCTAGAACTACACCTGAACTGAAGCCACCCTTTTTTGTGATTGTTCAATGGTTAGAAAGATGACCAACCTTTTGCTGCATCGTATCCAAGGTCAGGATTGTCCTGCTCCAATAGTTTGCCAACAACAACTGCCCCCTCAACTCCAGCATTAGAAGCAATTGTGGATACAGGCATCTATAAGAATGGAACCAAATGGTAAGATAGATAAAATGTAGATGAATAAATTATAAAGCTGTGCCTCTAAGTTAAGAAATTGTATTATTTGCAGTACAGAAAGAACCCAAGAGCATGAGAAGAAACTATAAAAGGAGAACAGATTTTTATTGAAACCTTAAGAGCATTCTGAATAATTTGAACACCAATCTTCTGGTCAAAGTTTGCAGTTGCCAACTTGTCCAGCTCCTTTGAGGCATAAAGCAGTGCAGCACCACCACCTGTACATTGGAAGCTCTTACTTATAAGATATAACCCAATTCAAACAAGCCAAACAAAATATGTTTCTGGAAAAACGACTTACCAGGTACGATTCCTTCCTCCACAGCAGCCTTGGTGGCATTTAGAGCATCAGTTACTCTGTCCTTCTTTTCACTAACTTCTGCTTCGCTCGCTCCGCCAATCTACAAAGTAGGTCTCAATCAGACTTGTTTTCAAGAGCTAGCACCAGTATATTGCAAATGGTAATTACAGCAATATGCTTGCAAGATGTTCCAGAAGTTAAACTTGTCACCCCGGACAAACAGAAGGGATAGAAAACAATAAGGAAAACCAACCTTTAAAACGGCAACACCACCAGAAATCTTTGCCAACCGCTCTTGTAACTTCTCCTTGTCATAATCAGAAGTGCTCAATTCAATTGATGATCTCAGCTGTCACAAACAATCAAAGTCCACATATCTGGTTAACAAATGCACTGGAACCCAGAACAGTTGTTGGAAGCGATTTAACAAGAAGAATCAGTATAAACCTGTTCACATCTTTCTTCAATGGCTTTCTTGTCACCAGCCCCATCAAGAATAACAGTGTCATCTTTTGATATTGTAACCTACAATACCAGACCATGCAAGTCATAAAATATTTCAACTTATTTAGAGCAGACATTGTGTCACCAAGATTAGGAACATATGCTAACAAATCACTTGATATATCTCACCCTTTTGCAGGTTCCAAGTGTTTCTACTCCAACTTTGTCAAGGTTCAGACCAAGCTCTTCAGTTATTACCTAGAATCCACACCAAAAAAAGAAAGAAAGAAAGGAAAATGAAAACAAAGCAGTTCACATGTCAGTCTCACAATAGCTTAAAGTTTTCAAGGAAAAGTGAAAACACAGAATGAAACTACCTCGCCTCCCGTAAGAATGGCTAGGTCCTGCAAATTTGCCTTCCTGTTTTCTCCAAATCCAGGGGCTTTAATTGCACAAACCTTCAATCCATTAACAGAATCGTATCAAAACAATGAAATAATAGTCGATCAACAATTTTTGACGGTGGACACAAAGTCAGTATATAATAGAAAATACAAGGATCACCTTAATTCCAGCACGAAGCTTGTTTATAATGAGAGTAGCAAGTGCTTCACTTTCCACATCCTCAGCAACAATCAAAAGAGGTCTTTGCTTCTGAGAACCCACAACAAATCAGTCAAAGCAATAAGAGAAGTATATCCACCAGATTTCAATAATCCCCTCAGAGAAACACTTACCTTCAATGCCAGCTCTAATATTTTAACTATCGAATTTAGATTTGAGATTTTCTTCTCATGGATTAAGACGAGTGGATCTTCTAATTCCTGTTAAAATTAAAACATCTAGTTATCAATCACAATGGAGCAGCTTCCAAAAAAGTGGGATAACTAAATAATCCCAAGATAACTTAAAGAAAAAGCCTTCCAACTGAAGAACCATGAAACATAGGCTTATAATAAAACAGTGACAAATAATGAAAAAAATGCTTACACATTTTTGGTTCTTAGGATTGGTAATAAAGTAAGGGGATATATATCCCCTATCTAGTTTCATTCCTTCAACAACCTCCAATTCATTATACAATGTTTTTCCATCCTGAAGCAATTCAAAAGCAAAACAAAATTCACATCAGATGCATATAGAGAATGAAGAGAAGCTCTACTATGCCCCACCACATGCCAGAATAAGATACTATTCACAAAAAATGATTGAAAACAAAGGAACATTCTAAGGAAACAACTTACAGCAATGGTAATAACACCCTCTTTGCCAACTTTCTCCATAGCCTTAGCGATTAGTTCACCAATTTCTCTCTCTCCATTAGCTGATATGGTCCCAACCTTTTCAGGAAAAAAGATTTCATAAAAAACGTCATTATAAAATTTAGACATTCATATTATTTCTCTCAATTCCAAAATTAAAACAAACCAGACCTGAGCTATTTCTTCAGATGTGCTGATCATCCGAGCCCTACTCTTCAAGTTTGTCACAACAGAATCAACTGCCATTGAAATGCCTCGTCTTAGGTCCATTGCATTCATTCCAGCTGCCACTGATTTGCATCCTTCAGTAAATATAGCGCGGGTGAGGACTGTAGCACAAGTGGTACCTGCAAACACAAATAACAACCTTCATGTCACTGTCTTCCTGATCACCCAAAGTTTTACAAACACTTTTACGTAGTGTATGGAGCTCTCACCATCCCCTGCGGCATCATTTGTAGCATTTGCGACCTGCTTTACAAGACTAGCACCAATGTTCTTGACTTTATCTCTGAACTCAATGCTCTTTGCTACAGTGACACCATCCTTTGTCACTTTAGGGGCCCCAAAGCTTTGTTCCAGAACAACATTGCGTCCCTGTGGAAAATCAAGCAATAAGTCAACCATTCGAAACAACATCAATGCATCAACAAGATGTAAATATAAGCATATGACAACTAAACGCAAAAAATTACTATCAATATACACATCATTGTTCCAAAGTCATAGCACGCAATCAATCAATAACAAATAAATCAAGAATGACAAAGCCACTCACTTTTGGCCCCATTGTGACTTTAACAGCATCAGCGAGCTCTTCCACACCCTTGAGCATCAATGCCCGGGCTTCCACACCGAATTTGATATCTTTGGCCGCATAGTTCCTTCTCGAAATCAAATTACTGCCAATCTGTACGGGAGAAAAAAACTTAGTCACATCAAAACACAATTAAACAATACCGAATCACTACTTTAAAAAGGAAAAGGAAGAATAAGTACCTGTTGGGTACAGTTCCTAGCCAACCTACAACCACAAATCAATAAAAAATGAGAGAGACCCAGATGAGAAAACAATTTTAAAAAGTGACTTTTGGCCACAAGTCGGAATTTTTAAAGAGCCCAGATGCGAGTACCTGGCTTTAGAGGCGAGGCTGCCGGCGAAGCGGTACATGATGACTTGCAGAGAAGAGAGAAAGTAGAATGAGAAAGTATGAGCTCTCGGGTAAAAGAAAGAGACAGAGAGAAGGAGAGTATAAATTGTGGAGCAGAGAAAGTCTAGAAGGAATTGGTTTATGTTAGGGTTTAGGGTTTTGGAGGGTTTGGAGAAGGCATGATCCATTTACTAAAGCCGAAAGCCACGGACCCTTCTGTTGACAATGCTGGACTGTGGGCTTTCATTTGGACCCTCTGTAGACCAATTTTCTCTGACCCAATATTTTTCTCGGGTCGGATTCTCTAACCCAATATTAATAAAGCTGAATCTTTAGTCCAATGAAATAAATAATTTCGTTCAAATTATTAATCTTATGATCTTGTTTTTATTTTATTTTTTAAGAACATATCATTTATTTTTTAGATGAGTAGTTCTCCTAGATTTTATGCATGCAAAGACTTTCTGAATGCTATACTATGCATGAAAACCAACCTCATTTGGTAGGAAAAAAAAAAATTTAATCACATTTGTCTCATCAAATCGCAGACTTTTTTTGTGCGAAAAGATTTTTACAAGAAAAAATTTACCATTTTCTAACAACTAATTAGATTTTCTTGGAATAATAGTAATTAGGAGCCAAACCATTCCACCAACACACCAAAAGGAACAAAGCGTAAGAAAGTACAAGGAAGAGGAGGTAAAACTTTCTCATATTGATTACATGAATTTTTTGATGGGAGCTTTGAATTGTTAATTAATCACATCCACCACAACATCTCAAGAGCTACTTGATGGTCAGAGGGTTACATTACATGGATAACCTGACCTTTCTGTTTTGCTTCTTAATACTAATCCATGAAATTCAGACATGGAGATTAAACTTATGGAGGATGGCAACAAGCTTATCAGGGGTTAATGGTTTCTCTTGGTAGTCATCTAAGCCTGCCTCTATAAATTCTTGTGTGTCTTCACTGAGGGATGAGTGTGACGAAACGCCTGCGATTGTGCTCCGAATTCCCATTGCACGCAGTGTTCTTGTTGCCTATAATTCAAAAGACAGCAAAAACAAATTCAGAAACATTAACAAGCAACATCAGTTGTGAATTTTGTGTCTTTATTTTACTTAATTTCATACCTCAATGCCATTCATGATAGGCATGTCCATGTCCATGAGAATAAGGTCAAAGTGTTTTCCAGAGCGGTGGACATCAATGGCTTCTTTCCCATTCCCCACAACTTGGTTTTCTATGCCAAGATTTTCCAACAGTTTGTGGTGAATTCTTTGGTTGATCTTGCTATCGTCTACAACAAGTGCGGTTATCTTGGTTGCTGCCTTTGTGTTCTTCAACATTCTTTCCCTTCTTGGTTTATTCAGAACCCACAAACTTCTTTTCCTGCATACACAACAGCCAGTGTGAGAAGCTTGTGTTAATTTGAGGCAAGAAAAAAGAGATCTGTATATACATAGAGAGAAAAGAAACCAATATATTTTCAGCATTATGTCCCAGAGAGGTTACTCTTATGAGTGAGAGAATTGGAGCCATGAGAATTCAAATTACTTCCTCATTGTGAGCTTGAAAACCATTGGTTAATTGTTATACCTTGCAGAAAGATGAACTGAATTGCAGTAAACTTGAGAAAGAATTAATGTCTTAAAGCAAAAGGGTCAGAAGGTACCTTAAGATGCTGCTGAAGACAGATATTTCCAGAGATTAAGAATGGTGTTTCTGCTAATTCTCCTTCCCATGCTGTAATTTCAATCGACTTATAAAAAGCAGCAGCAGCAACTGGAAAAAGGATACTCCACAACAAAAACAAAAACAAAAAGAAGGAAAAAGGATAAAAGTAGCCATGTGGGGATACACAGAGTATCACTAGGATTTAATTGAGAATCTGAAAATCTAACAATGGCTGATTTTTTCCTTAATTGTTGATATGCAAAAATCAGACGACTCTGCCTTCTTTCAGGTCTTCTTTGCAAAATTGAAATATGGATGACAGCAGCAAAGGTAAAAAGGTTGAGGCTACTAGCTCTCTTTTTTTCACCCTCTAAGTTCAGCATTTAATAGCCCCAAATTTGTGTTTTTTTTTGGGTCTAATTTAATAACCCAAATTAAAAGTAGAAAGAAACTTATACCATGTTATCCAACACGGCACACAACTTCCATACTATGAAATATTACCTTTTTTGGTTCACTTCTTAAGGAATCATATTAGCTTCTCGACTGCCAAATCAGTGTCCAAATTCATTGACATTGTAACTTTGCAATCAAGAATCTTGTTTATTTAAGTTCCAGTTTATTTATAAGATCTATTCTCTTTGCTTACAACAAAGACTCAAAATCTAAAACTTATCGCTTTACCCGTTTTTCCGATTACTTTCTAACAAATTGTTTTACGAGCGATATTTATGACGTATAGACAGATTGAGTGTGAGTGAAACACGTGATAGGTCGTGTAAATAGTAACATTTTGAGCGTTTGAGTGAAACACATGATAGGTCGTGTAAATAGTAACGTTTTGAGCGTTTGAATACAACACGTGATGAGTCATGCTAATAGTAACGTTTTAGATGTGAAAGTGGAACACATGATAAATCATGTAAATAGTAACGTTACGAGTAAAAATTTAAAATAATAATAATAAGTGGTAGGTTTTTCAATTCCATGCTGACCCAACTTTGAAAAAAGACACACACAATTATGCCCGATCATTATGTGACATAATGGTGATGGTTATATGTCACTGTAATTGGACTAAATATACATATTGATGCCAGAAACAATTAGGCACCTTAAAAAGAAATAAACTGATCTACCCGTGATCACACATAAAGCCCATAATTATTGTGATTATAATTAGCTATCTGGATGTACATACATATACATATATAGATATACTTACTTAAACTGGTTACATGTTTTAAGTGAGAGAGCCAGCACACATGTTTTAAGTGAGAGAGCCAGCACCACACATGGGGATATAGAGAGAGAGAGAGAGAGAGAGAGAGTCTAAATTCTTTGGGGCACAGACTACACAGAACAAGAATCTTTTGGAGATTTTGACGTGATTGTGTAGAAGTCTAGTGGATAGTGAAGCTTTGAATGATTGTACCAATTGATCCCAGAATGTCATGCCCGCCTGTCTTTCTCTCTCTAAATATTTTCCACGTTTCACCAATATGCACCAAAACTTAAATTTAGAGCATGGTTCATGTGTTTCATGTAACATTCTTTTTAAGAGGCCAACACACAAGTTTGATGCTTTCTTTGTGTCTATTTCAACTTGGCAAATCTAAAACCAATTTGGCGGTAGCATATATAGTTTTCCATGATGTGTTCCTTGTTACTTGCAGCATTGTTTTTCAGAGGCCAAGCACACTTGTTTGATACTTTCTCAGTGTTTGTTTATTTGTTCTTCAAGGGCAAATCTAACACCAAATGCAAGAGTTCAAAGAACTCTATTTTCTTCAAATGCTACTATTATGATGAACTTTAGTTTATAGGACAAGGGGCACACCAGCCTTCCAACAAGAAAGCAGAAAGACAGTAAGAACATAAGACCACTTATTAAGAGAGTCCTCTGCTTTGGTTTGATTATTTGCCTGGCCCCGTCTACCCCTAGTTTTCGAGCTCTCGCAGGATCGGAACAAACTTGGATGGACTAAAGGGCTTCTGAGATTACAGTAACTTATCACCACCAGCATCAAGAAATGCATGTTCCTCTTCCTTCCTGCATAAAGGAGGAGTTGTACCTCAAGCATCAAGAGGGAGGCTAGAGAAGGAAATTTAAGGGCTCACCAACAAGCACTTGAAGTTTTATAATTCTTTGCTGGTTTGCAGGACTCTAAGCATAGGAACCAAAATTGTTTTCACATTCACCTTTTTCGGGATGAATTTGTTGCATGAGTGAGCGACTGATCATATTGTTAGGAATAATTCTACACTTCTATTTGTGGTACTTTTCTTTCTCTTTCTATTGTTCAAAGTGTTAGGAATAATTCTACACTTCTATTTGTGGTACTTTTCTGCCTTGTGGTACTTTTCTTTCTATTGTTGATAGAGGTGTCGACTGATCATACTGTTAGGAGTAATTCTACACTTCTATTTGTGATACTTTTCTTTCTAATGTTAAAGGAGGTCGAGTTTGAATCTCCCTCCCTCGTTCATTTAAAAAAATAATCGTCGTTATCAATTTTATTGTTGCTGTTCATCATTCTGGTAGTTTCTTCAAAACTCAAGCAATATTGTTCTCATTCTTTCCCTTTTTCTGTTATAATTTTTTTTATTTTCGGGTACATTCATCTCGTATAAATGACAAGACATAAGAATCCTTATGCCTTGGTTAGGGCTCATAGCCTCATAATACCCAACACATAAAATGGCAACGAGAACACCGAATATATGAAGCTCATTTCCAAACAACTTTCATTGAATGTTAATTCCAAAACCTTTCTGTTTATATATAAACGCTGTTTGGGAAAATTTTAGATTACAATATGTGCGCTGTAACACTAATTGCTTCCCACAAAATGCACTCTCTACCTCCAAACCAGACACGCATGAGAATTTGAAAAAGAATAAGAAAATACAAACATGTGAAATAAAATTAAAAAATACAAGTCAAAATGCATTCACACAATATACAAAATACACAACAGATGAACGAGGCAACAACCACCCAAACCCACAATTCGTACCTAAATGAACCGATCCGCTAATCGTGGTTAGTGTCTATCGGCGAGCCTGTCCTTGCCTGCGAAATTCGATTCGCATATATAGTCACCAACCGTAACTGTGTGCTGTTGAGCCCCTCCAGGTATGGCAAGAATGCTTTTCCAAGCATGATATATATATCGACTAAACAGAAGACGACAGTCTGCACGACATAAATGAAACAAATTCAGTCCCATTAGAGTAGGTCTGGGCCTTTATGTTATTTAAGGGATACGAATCAGACAAACAGTAACCGTTACCTTGCGAACATCAGCACTCTGGTTTCCGAACGCTTCAAAAAGTGCAGGCAAAAATGATGGTAATCGAGCCATTAGTTCATCTTGTGAAAGCCGGCCTACAAGCTGAAGAAAAGAACAAGTGGCTTAGCAACATATTAGTTGATTAAATTGCGAACAAAATTAAAACAGATCACTTCTTTCATCTGGAATAGAGTTGATTGTAAGATGCTCAAGAAAGTTTCTAAAAGGACCAGAATAAATAATAAATAAAAATAAAAACCCCTCCTAAACTAAAATTTATGTGCGAAATTGATAGTCACTAGAAACCAACTACTACAGCTCCAATACATGAAAGTAAAATACCTTTGTCAAACAGTTAATACAGGTAACAAGAGTTTTCTCATCTTCAGTTACCAATAAAGGGACAATAACCTGCAGCATCAACAATTGACAGCATCATCAATGGTGATCACAACAAAGTAGAGGGGAAAAGCCAAACAATAAACTCAAAGGTTTTCTGATTTGTATTTTATTTTTCAGTGCCCGTTTTTTGTGTGCTAATAAATATTTGATAGGGTTCGTATAGACAAGTTACATAAATACATACACTTAAACATCTGAATGGATCATACTGGGACAAAACAATACTCAAGCAGTGCTCCGATTCATTTGAAACCTGAACATGAATTTAGATTAGTTTGAGACATGGAAAACAAAATAACCGTAGAATAAAAAGAACTAGTTCAATAAGAGTTACTTTGGGAACTGCATCCTTCGTAACATGAAGCAGCTTCTCAATTACAATCTCAACAGAATCTTCCATGGCATCTTTCTACAAACAAATAAAACCAATATTAGGAATAAAATATTACAATCTGTAAGAACTAAATACTTTTCAGGCAACACATATCCAGAAAAATAAATGACAGACCTGGTTCTTAAGCATTTCAATGATCAATGAAAGAGAGAGTTCCCGAATTGAGGAATCAAAATCATCCAATACCTCAAGTACAACTGTCAAAATCTGATTAAAATACTGCACATATACCACAAAACAATTATTAACATAAGATTGAGAGTACTCTGGTGCATACATCATGCATTTCTAGTTTTATACACACAAACAGGTTTATATGTAGTTTGTTTCTCTAGTGCAATAACAAAGTGTGACGCCCCTCATCCCATAGACTTCACTGCGCAGTCAACACAATCAGCAGCACATGGTGATTTTTATTGAAATCCATGTTTCCACATAATACATGTCACTATTATATAAATTATTAAGCCAATTCTCGATGTTGGTGTGACCCTCAATGCTAACACCATTCCAAAGCTTTGTCTTTTTCTTTTTTCAAACACCAAACGCTTCAAAATCTATCACACAAGATTTACAAGCA